TTTATTGAAAATTAAGGTTTTTTTTTTTTTTTTTTTTTTTAAATTTTGATTCTGACCAAAAAAACATGAATATTTTTGGGATATTCATGTTTATTGTTCACACTTCTGTAATTGGAAGTCCATGACTACGACCAACGAATACGAAAATAAAAGTTGGGTAAGGAATTTTTAGCTGGTATATCCATTTTAAAGTCCGTTTTGGAAAAAAATATGTCTTTCATCCTGTCAGTACGTAAAGACATCAGCAAAAGAAATCGTTCAAATGGATTCGGGAACTATCAGAATGTAAATTTCCTCTGAAATGTAATTCCCGAATTCTTTTGCGGTTAGAATATTTCCGTCGTAGAAGGAAGCACACCAGCAGCCGAGTGGCATAGTCGTTCATTACTGGTAGTTCTGACCTGGGTAGGAATCCAGGCAAACTGGCTGGCTGCATGGGCGTTTTCGTGGTTTTACATAACATGCAACGTGTATACGAGCTAGTTTCCCTTAGAAAGTCTTCCACGAAGGCATCCGTTGCCTTAGGCAGATAGGTCCAGTATGCTTTGCGATAATAAACTAAAGCAAACCTTCGTATAAGGAAGTAAAAACCAGCTTCGTAAAATTTACTAAATCTGCATTTTATATATTTCTTCCGTCCCTATACTCATATCTAGGAAAATATACCTAAGCTTGAACTATAAATATAAATATAGTTAGTAAAAATCAGATATTAAGCGGTAATGCAGCATCAATAATTTGTATTTAAACTAGAAATAAATGTACTTCTCAGGACCTTAAAATTTAATTACAAAATGTAAGACATACAGGCCAGCGCCTTGCGAAATAAAGTGTAGTTTTTAAATTTTAGCTAAGAGCTAAAAGAATTTGTCATCACGATTTGTTTTATCACGGTTTTACACGGCCTGGAGGAAATGAGAGGAAATGTTCAGCTTTGATTGGCAGTTTACAAAATTTTGTTGGTTTCGCGGTTCTTTTGGTGGGACTGGTTACCTGGTTTCCCTATTGTATAGTATACGTCGGCTTGTGAATTAATAATGTATAAAGAGGGTTAAGTTAGGTTATTTAATTAGGGCAAAGTCTCGAGAGATATCTGCCTAAGGGGAGGAATGCCTTCGTAGAGGACTTTCTAAGGGAAACTGGCTCGTATACACGTTACACATGGAAAAACCACGAAAACAGCCAATATAAAGAGGGATAGTTGTGTTGAAGACACGTAAAATAATGGCGATGATGCAAGATAGCGAAAGCGAGGATTTTTCAGATAGTTATTATGAAAAAGTGGAATTGAAAATAGTGGAAGTGATTCTTCTGTAGGTAGCCTTCTTGAAGACAATAAATGGTTCAAGTGCTTCAATAAAAGAGATGCCATAGGTAAGCCAGTAAGAAAAGATACCAGTGTACAGAATGCCAGGTATCACTTTGTGTTCTCCCTTGTTTCTAAAACTATCATACAAAGATTAAACATTTAATTTAAAATTTAAAAAAATGGGATTTTCCCCCCCTCTCTTTTTCAAAAACATTGTAAGGGAAGCGGTTAAATTTGGGCATTATATTCGAGGGGACATATTATGCACACTGTGTAGAGTCTTTAGGTTATTTTTAAAGCAGAAGTGTTGAAAGATAAGCAACGCCCTCGCCGGAAATCGAACCACGGACTCTGGAATACGCGCCCAGCGTTCAGACCACTACACTACGAAGGCATGTTAAGAAAGCGGGAAAAATACTTTATAACTGACAGAAAAATATTGAGCAATATATTTTTTTCAAAGAGAGATCTTATTCATAGAATTTCATGGAATTCGTTTCTAGCAAACACTGGCCGGTTTGAGTATTAGCACATATCCAACTCGTAACATCATTTGTAGTAATTTAATATGAAAAATAATTTTAGTAATTTAAGGAAATTTGTTTATGATTTTTAGATTGGGATTCGAAAGTAATAACACTGCATGAAGTTATTCATTTCGTATTTCTAACATTTCAAATTTTATAAATTTTTTATGTAGAAATTCTTTCGGAATGTAACTATTTCATTCTTTGTTTACTGAAATGATGAATATTATTAACATATTCCTTGTGGTTAAAAACGTCACAGTCGAAATGACGTGATGATGAAAGTGTGCTTATTAAATATACGCAGTCGTAAGTCCAGTTTATCACAAATCAGAATGAAAGAGATCATAATTATTGCAAACATTACACTTTTAATACTGTGCCTGCTAGCACATACATGTAATGTATTTAGACCCGTTGCATTAAAAAAAAAAGATAAGCGCATAATGAATTCAGGGATATTATATATCTTACGAATCCTGATTATTTAAAATACTTCTATATAAGGATAAAATATAAAAATCAAAATTACTTTAAAAACATAACTGAGCAAATTACTGAATATTCATACGGAGCAAAGAAAGTGTAAACGAAACAAATTAAAATTCAGTTTAATTAGAAAGAAAATTAAATTTAAACAATAAATTTTGACCAGTGCGGGTATTTAATCATGAAGAAACAATAAGTTCATTCTTGGTCTAAAAACCACATTTGTTGTAACTGGTTAAATCCCATAAATATTCCATGTATAATCTTTATACATGTATTTAAAGTCATAAAAAACAGTAAAAACGCGTCAGATCTTGCCTACAATTTTATTTAAAGGTTATTTAATTCAAAGGAAATCCAGCAATTACTTTCGAAGAAGAATTTTTTTCCTTATTTATTTCTTCATAAAACTGATTTTACTGTTTTCTTTGTTAAAAAAACTCCGATATGGTTTCTTAAGTTCCCTCAAGCACAGGCGGTGCTCAGGTTACTTAAATGCACGTTTCAAAATTTATTTTTAAAGCATATTTATGCTGCTGACATTTTTATTTTATACGTTTCTGCACTACTCACGTGCATAAACACAAACTCACGTGCAGAAATGTAAACATTAAAAAGTATACAAGTAAACATTAACAATAACATAACCTTCATCAAAACGTTCAATGCAAATTTCTCTACAAGTTTTCTTTTTCTTTTTCCTCTCTTTCTTTTTTTAAGGCTGTATTTTTTTCACTGTTACATATATATTGCAACATATTGTATAATCATGATTTAGCAATCTACAATTCTTTGATACACATCTTTTACTCACTTTTAGATCCCACTTTGATATATTGTTAATAAAGATATAACACCTCACTTTTCAATTATACATTAATCAGGGTGATCAGCTGATTAACATACCTTAGGTGCTATGTGTTACATACATAGTATTTTTGCAATAAAATGAGTTAAAGAAAGATCTGATTAATAATGTTGCTCAAAAACAGCAGTGAAAAAATACTCGTACAGAGCTAGATTTTATCAGTATTTCAATTTTTTCATATGTTAGAGAGGTAATTGATTGATTAATTAATTATGGTTGAGCATTCGAGGATTATTTGCTTTCAGGAGGATGCCTCCTTTGAGGATTTTCTGATCAAAATCCGCTTTTATTTGTTTTACAAGTAACAGAAAACACGAAAACCTTATGCAACTGGCTGTTCACTGGGAATCGAATCAGGGACGAATGACTACAGTTTAGAGATGTTTTTGACTTTGACTGGTGATGTCTACTTGGAAGACGAATTAATAGCCGGTTTGTTTATACTTTCACTGAATACTATCTTCTTCTCGTTTAATCGCTTGCATCCAGGCGCGCTAAAGACCAGCTTTGTCTTATGCCATGAAAAAACTGGGGATTTTATGCACATAGGAAATGCAAAACGTTTTTATTAATAATAGACGCGTGTTTACATATTATTGTTTTAAATGAGAAATACTTAATATTTAAATATGGTACGTTATAATACTAATATATGACCAAGTACAGGGATACCAATGATACGAATATATAGAATATAATGAAGCAGTTTTCTACCTCTTTTTGCCCCAATCATCCCATTCATTTTCTTTCCAAAACTCGAAAATACACATATACATCTATGTAGATATATAGATGATTTTTTTATGTGTTTCATAAATTAAACACCAAAAATTATAGAAAATGTTGATAAACACCAAAATTTCAATTGAAGTACTTTTTTATAGTCATAAACTGAAATTAAACACTTGAAAGCTAAATAAAGTGCTGTGTTTTCCCTGAAACTACGAATTGCCCCCCCTGGTTCAGAACCCTTGGTATAATAGGATACGAAAGTATAGTATAATGATTATATGTATTATTACATATAGAGGCGTACGAAATTTCGTACGAGGAATATGTATTATAATACACATGAGAACAAGCTTCATAACGATTTCTAAGTAACTTGTAAAATATTAAGTCAAACAATGTATAAATTTTAAATTGAACTTATATTACCGCATTTCTGATACTGAGCTCAATACTTCGGCACTTCAAATAATATTTCAATAATTATATCCTGATTTTAAATACTGTCATAACTTCTATCGTAAGTAAAAAAAAAAAAAAATTCCTATTTATCTCTCATATTGTACATAAAATAATATATGATATGATGAGAAATAGTTCGTACTTTAACATAGTATCGCATAATTGTTAGGTTTTCCACATAATAATAGTAATTATGATGAAAAGTTGAAAAGTATTTAGTATTTAAATACATTGCTAGACTATCTGTTCATGTCGAACTTTTCAAATTAATGCGTTTCTTTCCAAATATTTGCTGTGAAATGTCATTTATTACATAGCTATAAAGCTCAAATACGCGCTGTTAAAAGATTAAATATATAAACATCAATAACAGATGAGCAGTAAATAATTATTTCATATTATTTGAACAAAATTTCACCATTTCCCGAAATGCATAATTGTAGTTAGCACGAGGTTTCATTTGCAAACAATAGAAGGTTTCTTCTAAAAATTTTAAAAAATGTCATTCATTTAGAAACAAATATTATGTACTAAATTCATAATGCACAGTATCATTCCTAAAATTAACGATATTTTAAAATTAAATCATTTCCAAATAGGTTTTATCCTAACTTACCTAAAGTAAACTTAAGCATGGCAAACGTTTCTTGTACCGATCGCTGTTCGTGTATCTTGCGGCTTTCCCAGATCTACCATTGATGAAAACCAAGTAAAATACTCTCTGATAATACTTTTGGAGAGTGACAATATAAACTGGTTTAGTTCTCGTAATTAGGCAATCAGGAGCTGAGTATGAAACCATCAGCTCACACGAAGACAAAAAAAAAAAAAAAAAAAAAAAAAGACGTTGGTTCTCATATTAGTAAATAGGAAGCAGAATTTAAACGAGGAAAAAACTGAAAAAGGAAGAATAAGAAAACTTTCAAGGATTATTGAATATTAAAAGAAAAAGCATAAACGGTCGCTTTCATCATATAGGTCAAGGGTAAGGCTTCAATGCTTGCACGGCTATGTTTTGTCCTCCATGTGTGGTTAACATTGATTATGCTGATGTATGTATACAATCACACGTCATACACAATTTGCACAAACTGTTGTGTTTCGGACTTTAAAGTCTTTTAGAGTCACGCCCTATGAAAGGACAATAATATAACTCGGAAGTTACAGAAGGTTCGCGAAGTAAAACTAAAATTCAGAATAAATTTACAGTTAAATATAGATGATATTTCACTTCGAATTGCAAGTATGTAATGGAAAGTAAATTTACTTTCTTAAAAGTTATTTGAATGAATTATTCATTTGTAAACCGCACAGAAAGTGTTGGCGATGACCTCGTAAATCTCATTTTGTGGGTAAGAGCGTAATTAAACATTCATTGCTCGGAGCAACTTCACAAATATAGGGTTTAATCTTTATGCGAGCCTGATCCATTTTTTGAGTTCAATTGTTCTTTCATTTTCTTCAGTTTCGAAACACTAGCAGAACTTTAAATATCCGAAATCAGTGAGATTATGGATTATTCGGATTTTCAGAAAATCCACTTTAGGTTTCTTATCGCCTTCTGTAACCAAGCGTGTCATGAGATTTTTAAATTTAATGCCAGGGCGTTCCCGTGATCAAGCGGATAAAACTGCTTAATTCTGGAAGTTCGAGTTGGGTTCCATCCCAGGCTAACGGGGGAGTTGTATGGTTGTTTTCCTCATTTGTAGCATTAATGCGAGCCAGTTTCCCTCAAAAAGCCATCCACGAAAGCTTCCCATCTCTTGAGCAGACACCCTCGTGTGCTTTGCTATATTCAAACAACCTAATGTGTAACCTAATTTCACGAAAGCAAGGAGAATTTTTACAGTTTAACAAATTGCATAAAACTAATACAGAATACTTTTTCATAAAACTATGCGATGAGTATTTCTTTTTACTTCACTAAATGCTCATCATATTTCTATTTCAAATAAAATAAAACAATTATTTTAATCTTTATTTTTGTAAGCGCAATATTCCTTCTAAGTGCAACAACTATTAGTATTTTATGCCTAGAGTTTTATATTTAACTACGAACACTGTTGTGCAAAGAAGAGTCTTACTATAACGCAAATACATAAAACGTAAAAGAAAAGCAAAAGTCAAATGATTTATTGTATTACTTTCTTTCCAGCGACGTTTTCATAAAATATACTAATTCAAAATCCATACTAATACGCGTGATTTCAGGGTATACAACAGAACGTTAAAATACAGTAATCACAGGAATTATTATTTAAATTCCAAGTCTGTATACCTACTTTCCATTACATAATTTCAGTTCCAACTTAGATAATGTTACGAAACGAGTCCCCCCCGGTACAGTCTTGCCATTACTCGCTTTGAAATCGTTGAGTTTGTTAATCAAAAATTCGTTAAAGATTTGCGAAATATGAAATCGATTTTTAAAAAAATTCCAAACTTGGGCTTCTAGATGCCCATGTTCGAGTGGAGAACTGCGTTACTCAAAACTGTATGTCTCTAGGTACCATTGTTTTTCACAGTGTAAGAAACATTGATATACTCATGCAGATTCTTCATTATTTAATTTCTTTAAATATAATACAGGGCTCTTACGTTTAGTGGCAGTAATTTCAAAAGTGAAACTCTATTTATAGTGAATCAACGCAAAATCCCAAACTGATATTACTAGCCCTTGTGTGCTAATAATAAAGGGAATAAAATTTACCAATACACTATCTTTTAGAGGGGAAAACTATGTTCAACAGAAGAAAAGGGAAAATTATGTGAATATTTGGGTAAAAATATATGTACGTGTACCCCTTGGCAAAAATTGACGATTCTTGGCAGTACATGGATACCAGTTTGTGCAATTCTTTGACTTGTTATTTTGGCTTTGTGTAGCGGCGATTTTTGGCGTAAAAATCGCCGCTACACAAAGCCAAAATAACAAGAAAAAGAATTGCACAAACTCAGTATCCATATACACATCAATCTATTTTCACTTAAAAAAAAAAAATAAAAAAAAAATAGAGAATTGCACAAACTAGGCATTGCGCACTCTCTTGACTTCGTCCATGCACACATCGAACTATATTGACTTAAAAAGTCAAAGGCAGGCAACAAAAAATACATAATCTCTATAAACTACATTGTAAGTCAAACAATGAAATAACATAGAAAAGGAAATTCATCTTTGCACTTCACAAAGAAACTACACAAAAGAAAATAGACAGTAAAATGGCTGAATGTAATTTTACTGTCTGAAACCCATGCAGAACCCATGCATGGATTTCAGACAGTAAACTCATACTGAACCCAAGCAGCCAACCCATATTTCTTTGCACTACACAAAAGAAATATGGGCTGGCTGCATGGGTGTTTTCGTGGTTTTCCCCATGTGTAACGTGTATACGAGCCAGTTTCCCTCAGAAAGTCCTCCACAAAGGCATCCCTCACCTTATGCAGATAGCCCTAACCTTCCAAATGGTACAGAAACGTCAAATTAATCTTGCCACATTCAGCCATTTTACTGTCTAAACCACAAAACAAGTAATATAATTCCTAAAACACAGCGTTACAAGCTCTAATAAATTTACCGCAATCATGCAACCGATTACGTCATAATAGGGTTTCCATAACATTGAGTTACTGAGATTACCATAAACGAAACAACTTGGCGATAAATGAAACAACAACTTCGCGATAACACAAGGGGTGCCCTTCTCTCTACTCTAACCGAATATTTGTAACATTTTCAGAGCCTAGAGCTGAAATGCCAGGGGGAAATTGCTCGAGAAAATACGATATTAAAAATTTTCTACCCTAGCGGGAGACCTATTTAAACCTACTTAAACCTGAGTTATTAGAAACTAAAAATTTCATGCCGATAACTATAAAAAATATTATGATTGTAATTCAACTGGGAATAATGCTGCAAAACTCACATCATTATATCTCTTATAATAGACTAAATAACATAATAAAGAATTTCATAAGAAATATTAAAATTTTTAAAACAGTAATTTTCATATCAAGTTACCTATAAATACTTTATGCATTGTTAATCGTATAAGACATATATTCATTCGGTTAATTATGAAATAAGTTCAACATCAAAGCAAATTCCATATTTACCTTTCATAACTCCAAAATTTGCTTCCTCTTAATTAATTAATTTCACGATTATAAGCAAAACTATTTAATACAACAAGTTTAAAAGTGAGATTCGCTGTTAGTACATCTTAATTTATAGCGAAATCTCTTTTCGTTTCACTATCGTTTTCCATATCGTAAGCAATACTGCTTAATCATTAAGTTTAACAATATTCCCTATAATCTGAAATATTCGTTATCATTTGATGTTTCGATAGGACTTGCAGTTACGCAGTAGTGTCTTTTCGAAGTAAACCATAACATCAACGGTCGGTTAATGCTTTTCAATACAAGAATTTGAAAGACATACATGATCCCTACGCAGTTAGAAATAAAGACAATTTCTTATCAGATTTAACACTCAAAAATTGCCTAAACAGAGATACGTGGCTTATTTCCTATTACATTGTTTCTTGAAATATATTAGGTTATCTAGAAGAATTTAGGTCAAAGATGTAACATTCCCAAGAAGGCGAAGCTTTGTTCTTACAATAAGCTTCTCTGAATAATATTTGCACAGGGTGCTTGCACAATTTTAGAAACACCTGGAATCCGTTTGATTGATATTTAAAATGCAAAGAATATTTTTTTTTAATATTCGATCTAAAAACTTTTTTCTTCAGCGTTACTCTGAATAGTGACTTTTACGATAAAAGGGCTTTTCATAACATTTCTAGAAGTATTGATTTCTATAACATTCCAGAGTCCATCCATTGTCGTGGATTTGTGCTTAGGAAGAGCTCTTTGTAAAAGACTAAAGGCGTAATATGCAAAATTGAAAAGTCTGTGGACTTCGCAGGACTAAACTGAAAATGTATAAATTCGATATCTTCATTTTTCAGGAAGTGCAGAGGTACTTTCCGAAGAATGATTTGTCCTTTTGCTCAAAAATGAATTTTTCATTCTTTTAAAGGAATGGAAATTTTTCTTTAAATATCGGACGAGAAACCTTCTTAGCATACCCTGGTGGTGTAGTGGTTAGCACTCTCGACGCGTCCGTGGTTCGAGGTCCGTGGTTCGAGTCCCGAAGAGGGTTTTTCTCATTTTTCATCTCTTCTGCTTCCAAAAACACCTAATATCTCTGACAGTGGAGCCCGAACTAAAAGCGTGGTGAATGATGATACTCCATCACCAGGATTTGGCGATTGGGTCCCCTAATCCCCAGTCGCCCTTTAAAAGGGGGAGTATGTAAGGTATTTCTCCCGTCTTCTTAGCATGCTTTCGTGGTGTAGTGATGAGCACGCTCGACGCGTATTCGAGAGGTCCGTGTGGTTCGAGTCCCGGTGAGGGCATCGCTCATTTTTCAGATTCCTACTGCGAAATAACCTAATGTCTCTACAGTATATTGAGTCTATTTTAACACGATTTTCGCTCTTCATATTTTTATTTTCCGTTGTAAGAAAATCTTGCAATAATCCATACAAGGTTTACTCAAACTATTTTTCCATTTATGGAACGATGCTCCTTAATTTTTTTCTGATCGTCTTCGATAATGAATAGGCCCTTTTTTTGTTGCAGTTGTAGAGACAGGTGACAGGTGAGAGCAGAGTCCGGACACTCGGGCGGCTTTCACTGACTATTCGGGTATCGTCCGAATCCCGCAACTGTCCAGAAAAAGAATATTACAAACAGGGG